TGTATGCAGGTCAGGAAGCACCAGTTAGAACTGAACATGGAGCAACAGACTGGTTCCAAATAGGAAAAGGAGTACGACAAGGCCGTATATTGTCACCCTGCTTATTTAACTTCTATGCAGAGTACATCATGAGAAACGTTGGGCTGAATGAAGCACAAGCTGGAATCAAGACTGTTGGGAGAAATATCAATAAACTCAGATATGCAGATGACACCACCCTAATGATAGAAAGTGAAGAGAAACTAAAAAGCCTCTTGATGAAAGTCAAAGAGGAGAGTGAAAAAAGTTGGCTTAAAGCTCAACATTCAGAAAACTAAGATCATGGCATCTGGTCCCATCACTTCATGGCAAATAGATGTAGAAACAATGGAAACAATGGCTGACTTTATTTTTTTAGACTCCAAAATCACTGCAGATGGTGCCTGCAGCCATGATATTAAAAGATGCTTACTCCTTGGAAGAAAAGTTATGACCAACCTAGACAGCATATTAAAAAGCAGAGACATTACTTTGCCAACAAAGGTCCGTCTAGTCAAGGCTATGGTTTTTCCAGTGGTCATGTATGGATGTGAGAGTTGGACTATAAAGAAAGCTGAGCACCGAAGAATTGATGCTTTTGAACTGTGGGTGTTGGAGAAGATTCTTGAGAGTCCCCTGGACTACAAGGAGATCCAACCAGTCAATGCTAAAGGAAATCAGTCCTGAATATTCATTGGAAGGGCTGATGTTGAAGCTGAAACTCCAATACTTTGGCCACCTGATGTGAAGAACTGAATCATTGAAAAGACCTTGATGCTGGGAAAGATTGAAAGCAGGAGGAGAAGGGGACGAGAGAGGATGAGATTGTTGGATGGCATCACCGACTCAATGGACAGTTTGAGTAAACTTTGGGAGTTGGTGATGGACAGGGAAGCCTGACGTGCTGCAGTTCACGGGGTTGCAAATAGTTGGACATGACTGAGTGACTGAACTGAACTGAACCAAGTGAAGATATTAAGTAGGCTGTTGATTGTAACATTTGGGAAGACGGGATTAATATATATCAATTTTTGATTCAATTACCAATAGTTAATATTTAAAGCCATAGAACTGAAAGAGACCACCTAGAGAAGAAGTAACCATAGAAAATAAGATAAGAAAAGGATAAGCCTTCTGTGAGCACCCTTAATTTAAAATACATCAGGTGCCTGAGGCATTTTGATCATGAAATAAAATGCCACTTTTTGCACTTATCTATGAAATGCTTTTTTATACTATGTCATGCAGATAACATGAAACTAAAATGTGCCAAGTGTTCAGAGTAGTCTATTCTTACCACTGTATAGGTGGGAAAATTGAGCACTGAGAGATGAGATTTCAAGACTCATGACCACACTGCTAGTAAATGATGAAGTTAGGCTCAGAACAGAGATCTTTCTAACTCTACTCCATGGCCTTTTCTGTTATATCATGTTGGAAATTCTCAACTAGCAGATATAATGTCCCCAGGGTTATTACTGAGCCTGTTTGCCTCTACATTAACATCCCCATTTTAAGATGTCTGTGTTCCAAAGTCTAATTAGTTTTCTGTCTTAGCCTTTGTTCTCTAATGTCACATCTTGCTGCAACCTGCCTCAGAGTTTCTCCCTCTACTGATCTACTGTTATAATGCTATAAGCTGTGAAAATAAATAATCAAGACATAGAATTATTAGGAATATAATAAGTTAAAACAGTCTTTGAGAGACTCTGATTAGTTATCTGTCATGGTCATACTGTACTGTCTTAAAATATGTCATGGCTATTCAAGGCCTTTTGCTTATTATCAATTATGACATTAACATTAGCATTTGTGTAATAAAACTGATTAACTTGCCAAATAAGTGACTTCTGATGGGTAGTGTAATTTTTCACATTCATGCATCCTTTTTTTGGATCACGTACTGCCCCAGTCCACATTGATAAGAGTCCTATAGATCGCTTTCACTCTCAATTTCTGTGATATCTAAAAGTTCAAAAGAGAGTTTAAAAAAAATTTTTTTTACTTCATTTTGGAGTATTGCCAGCTAATAAATGATGTTGTGATAGTCTCAGGTGAACAGTGAAGGGACTCATATACATGTATCCATTCTTCCCCAAAGTGCCCTCCTATCCAGGCTGCCACATCACATTGAGCAGAGTTCTATGTCCTATACAACAGATCCTTGTTTGGTATCCGTTTTAAATATAGCAGTGTGTCCATGTCCATCCTGAACTCCCTAACTATTCCTCCCCCCAGCTCTTCCTCTGGCCCCCCCACAACCATAAGTCTGTGAGTCTGTTTCTGTTTTGTACGTAAATTAATTTGTATCATTTCTTTTTAGATTCCACATATAAGAGATGTCTTATGATACCTGGCCTTCTCTGACTTTACTCAGTATGACATTCTGGTCTAAAAAGAAGTTTTGATTGTTCTCTCCGGACAATGGAACTCAAAAGAAAACAATCCCAAGGTAGACCTTAACAAAGAAAGCTACATTTTTAAACAAATGAGCTTAAACAAATTTAAACAAATGAGCTCCTCTGTGAGTGAATAGGTCTTCTAAGAAGCAAGTCTCTCTACCCTACCTGTTCAGTTTAGGTGTTTGGGAGGCGAGTCACTCCTGCTACCTCTCCTGCTACCTTCTTTCCAAAGCTGATCTTCAGTTTCCTATGCTTTTCCCTTTGGCAGACAGAGTTCGTGTGCTCCCACCACTGCATTCCCACCATCTCTCATGAAGTCTAGATCACCATTATGTTGAAAGTTTGTGGATGGCCAGTCCATGATATCTCCTGTCACCAAACAGATGCCCAAGTCCTGGATTTTCCAGAGGCTTCCTCAAGCAATACCTAAAGAACCTTAGTTTTATTCTTTTAGGAGTAGGGAGTTAGTGAAAGAATTTTGGCAGAGAAGTGGCGCAATTTTGGCAGCAATGAAAATGATGGTTTTGAAGGGATGATGATAAAGGTGAATAGAACCATTACAAGGCAAAATTTCCCGTGAAAGTTGGGAAGGGTATGAACTACTCAATAACAATCAAAATAGGCAGGAGAGAACATATCTTAGAAACATTTAGAAGGCAGACTAACATAAGACTTGACCATTCATTTGAATGTGGGGTGAAGGGACAGGGGATAATTAAAGTAACCCCTTCATGACTAACCTGAGCCAAATGGGGAGGTGATGGGTTTTGTCTCAGGCTGGTTTAGTTTGAAGTGGGACCTGAATTTTGGAGAGAATTCTGGAGGCCAGAAAAAAATTTGGGACTTTTGGATATAAGTGATCACAAAGCCATTTCAACCCATGGTATTACCCAGAAAGTATTTTAAATAAAATAGGAGAAGTTGGAGAACTACAAAAAGACCATCAGAAGTAGTTAAAGAAGATTTTGCAAAGGATAGACATCATGAAGAATCAGGAGAGCTGGGGTCCAAACATCCTAAAGGAAGAAAAACTAAAGGAGAGAGTGATGACTAGTGATGAAAGCCTTAGAGAGATGAGACAGATGAGGACTGAAAACTTTTCATTGAATTTGGCAGCAAAGTGAATCTTCTTAGGAAGATTACTAACTGTAGGGTGGTGAGGAAAGAAACCCGGTGAAGAGAGTTGTAGAACAATAATTGAGGAGCTGAGAAGAGAAAGGCTAGAATGTTTGAAACCCTGGTTAGTAAAGGAAAGGAGAGAGACAAGGCTGTGGTTACAATGGGACTAAGAGTTTAATTTCTTTTTTTAACTTCTAGAAGGAGATGCTTAATTTTGCTTGTGTGTTAGAAGATAAAAGGCAGCAGTAAGGAGACATTCAAGACGCATAACAACAGTAGAGAAGACATGACTTTGGGGCAAGAAATGACAAGTTGTAACTCTGAAGTTATTTCCCCATGAGAGAAGTAGGAGGTGAGGTGAAGATAAAATAACCTCGGATATTTCACTGTTCCCTAGGTACCTTAGGTATAACAACACTTAAATTATAAATGCAAATAACTGTTTTCAAGTATTTAATGCTAAAATAATCATCATTTGTCTTATTTAATGTGCTAGATTATAGCAAGTATGGAGTATCATGTAGTAAATCTTATCTGCCATTTCCACAAAGCATTTCCAGTATTGTTTATTTCCACAGTTAAGTTCTAGGCTGGTGAAATTATCTTACTTGCAAGATCTTTGACGTGGTGATCAACTGATAGAATTCTCCGTCTTTCATTTTGTCTTCTTTTAAGTGAAGTTTAGCCAATAGTTGCACAATTTAAGAAATAAAGGTACCCCACTTTTGTTTTAACCATTATTCAAATCAGATAACTAAAGGAAGTGAAACCATTTTTCCTCTGATTGGACTTGAACCCATGTGACTGGGACTTGTCAAAACCTACAGTAATGAAGCCCATGTTCTTGATGTCTCATCTCAGAAAGTATTCAGTGAGAGACAAAGTGACAGGTAAGAAGTGGATTTATTCACGGAGAAACACACTCTACAGAGTGTTAGGCCCTCACAGAGGGTGAGTGCGGTGGCCTCAAAATGTGGCATGGTTAGCTTTTATGTACCAGTAATTTCATAAGCTAATAAGTGGGAGAATTATTACAACTATTTTGGGGATGGGATGGAGATTTCCAGGAGGTGGGGCCACCGCCCAACTTTTTGGTCTTTTGATGGTTGACCTTGGAACTGTCATGGCACTTCTGGGTGTGTCATTTAACTTACTGATTGAGGATCAAGGTCTAGTTGAAGTTGACTTGTCTGCCATCCTGGACCCATTTGATTCTAATTGGTTTATATTGTATTCTCGGGCTATGTCATTCTTTCAAAAGTTGTGCCCTGCCTCCTTCCCTCCTGTTTCAGAAGTAACCAGAAACGTAATTTTTCTCTTAAGTTTCCATTATAGGAATTTTGATTGAAGTACATAGTTCAGTTAAAATTAGCTAGTTATGGACTGCAATCCAATTCATATAACTGTTGCCCGCCCATGTAATACATACAGAGCTGCTTGCAAGTTAGACAGAAATCATAAATTCCAATCTTGCCTCTGCTGTATACAAAACAAACAAGCTTTCTTAATGACCCAGAGCATCTTGATGCTATTGTTGTTATACATTGCTATGAACAAAAAAATCAGTTGTTTTTCTAAATAGATATCAGTTGAAAGGCTGTCTGATATTGTGGTTAAATGTAGAGACTATAATGTTAAACAGATCTGGAGTCAAATAATCATCCCACCAACAGGTGTGTGACCTCAGCTTCCCCCTTCATAAAATGAGATTGAGTGTTTTTGGGAAAAGAAAGAAGATCATATAAAATGTTGATGATAGTAGTTTATATAATAGGAACTCAAATAAGCAAATAATAGTCTCATTTACTAACCATCATAAGAAAATAATATAAATATTACTGGATAGAGTAAATCATCCTACATACTCACTCTCTCATTGATGATGCATGGCTTATTACACAAACTTCTAGTCACTCCCAGATCAAAATAAGAAAGAAGTTAAAGGCTTCCAAGATTTCATGATGAGCTCTCTGAAAAGTCTTTTGATTTTGATCTAGATAAATGTGCCTTTTTTAATGACAAAGCATGGGGACAATTGCAAAGATTAGAATTTTTTAAGAAACTAGTAAAAATGCTGCATATGTGTGTGTGTGATAGAGAGAGAATGTACACCAAAGTAGAATTTATACAAAATATTATATAAAATATATGTTAATGAGAACAAAATGTGTATAATTTTGCTTATGAGAAATCAGTATTAATAATAATCTTAAATCATCTTATGAATTATTTGCACCACTATCAATCTAATGACCTTTTCATTGCACAGATATCATTTTATGATACAACATAAACTCATTGATTAGCCTTAACTAATTTGGATAATGCATGCATACTAAGTTGCTTCAGTTGTGTCTAACTCTTTGACCCCATGGACTATAGCCTGCCAGGCTCCTCTGTCCATGGGATTCTTCAGGCAAGAATACTAGAGTGGGTTTCCATGCCTTCTTCCAGGGAATCTTCCCAACCCAGAGATCAAACTCACATCTCTTACATCTCCTGCATTGGCAGGAGAGTTTACCTCTAGCACCACCTGGGAAGACCAATTTGAATAATATGCCTATGGAAAATAGGTATAGTTCTAGTATCTAGGTCTAGAATACTAGCCTATAATTCTAAGCCTAGAATACTCCCTAGTATTTCAGACAGAAATTTCACTAAACACAAGCATTTTTTCCAACCATGTGTTTGAAGTGCCTGAGATAAGAAACTTTGGAGGTAGCAGTAATGTCACATGCTCTTTGGCATTATAAAAAAAATGATAGCATTCCAATAAAAAAAAAAATAGAAAAAAATGTTTCTTGGATAACATTCCAAGAAATGTGCATTTTGTCTGCCCTGGGCAATGCTGTATCCCTTGTAGCTCTTGATCCTGAAAGAGGCTCATTATGTAATAATATATTGTTCTTTTCATGAAAGAATGGTTGGTAGGAGGTGGGCCACATCCAGGCAGGTTCCCTAGTCATGCAAGATCACAACAGAGGTTAGTTTTAAGTGTCACCAGGAACAGAGAATATTGGCTAAGTTCTTTTAAATAGTAGGGGAGAAGTTAGGGGGAAACATAATATAGTCATGCCCTGGTAACCCCAGGGGATTGGTTTCAGGGACCCCCCCTCTTGACCCAAAACCCAGAGAAGCTCTAGTCCCTTATATAAAATGGTGTAGTATTTGCATGCAATCTACTCACATCTTCCTGTAGACTTTAAATCATCTCTAGATTACCTATAATACCTAATACAATGTAAATGCTATATAAATAGTTGTAAATACAATGTAAATGTTATGTATGTAAATAGTTGCCTGTAAGACAAATTCAAGTTTGGCTTTCTGGAACTTTCCAGAATTAATTTTCTTCAATATATTCTCTCCATGGTTGGTTGAATCCAAAGGTGTGGAACTCATAGATACAGAGGACCGAGAATATTGGGTTTTTGTTTCAGGGAGATGCAAATAAACACAGATTCAGAAAGGCACCAGACACTAGTATCAGGCCACAGAAGAGATCAAAGAGAAAGCAAAATTAAAGAAATAAGCAACACAGAAAAATAACTATCATTTTAAAACATATGCTTCTTTGCCAGCTGAGGGCACTACCACTCTTAATTCTCACAACAATTGTATGAGGTGTGTGCTAAAGGCTACCTTCATTTTATAGATTAGGAAACTGATATATGGAGAAATCAAGTGACTTGTACAAGGTGACCCAATTAGGAAATGTGGAAGCCACGGTCTGAACTTTAGTCAGCTGGCTCTGCGCATTTCATCTTTCTTATTTTAAAAATTATTTATTTATAGCCTCACTGGGTCTTCATTGCTGTGAGCCCAGGATTTTCCTAGTTGTAGCAAGAAGGGCTACTTTTCCTTGCAGTGCATGGGCTTCTCATTGCGGTAGCGTCTCTGCGGAGCACAGGCTCTAGGACACATGGGCTCAGCAGTTGTTGCCTGCGGGCTTAATTGCTCCAGGGCATGTGGAATCTTCCTGACCCAGGAATCGAATCTGCGTGCCCTGCACTGGCAGGCAGGTTCTTAACTGCTGGACCACCAGGGAAGTCCCTCATCTGTCTCCTTCACACACACAGAGTCTGCATGGTCTCTTTTGTAAATAACTCAGCCGGCGAACTGACCACTTGGCGTGTCACTCTGCTCCCCGCCACTAATGGCTGGGTAAAATGATGGTGTCTCTGTCAGTTTCCTCATCAATAAAATGAGTATTGTCCAGATCTATCCAGACTGCTCTGCTTGGGTATTGTGTGAAATAACCAATCAATAATCATAAAATGCTATGAAAACATGGAGTGCTAGGTCCAAGCTCAATATGATTATACAAGTTTACAGTGTGAAAGCACAACCAGAAAGGTCAAAGCTACTTCAAACTGCATACAGAAAGGCACAATGATGTTGAATAGAGAAGCTGTTGTCTTTATAGCCATGGGGCAAAGATTGGGGATGTTTCAGTGAGAATATTTTTCTTAATTATAGGTGCTTAGGCATCCCAAAACAAAATAATTCATTGGAAGATGAGTATTTAAACCTATATACTTCTCCCTTGAGGGAGAATACTTAACATTACTGCACCACATATTAAGGGACAAGAGTGATCAGATTAGGATGAAGAACTAAAGATGTTAATCTGGTTAAGAAAAATACTGGACTAAACAACACACTGCAGGCATTTGAAGTGTGCAGATTTTAAAAAAGAGAGTTTAGTTTGGGAATTGAAAGAATGACTAGAAATATGGAAGGGAAGAAAAGAAAAGAGAGAGAGAGAGAGGAGTGAAGGGAAGAAAGACAAAGAGGAGGAGAGAGAAAGAAAGAGAAATAAATTCATATTTGGGCCATAAATATATTTACTGATATAACTCCAGTTTGATTTGATTCATTTTAAAGATTGTGAATCACTGACTAATGGACTCAGCTACAGTTCAGCATCTATCATGTCAAAGGTCAGCATGAACTGCTATGAAACATCCAGGCCTTCCAGAGCCTTAAATTGATGCCAGTTGTCCCCACATCCAGACTAGCTCAAGGGATGTATGTGAAGCCTTGTTGTTTGAAATAGTGAAAGTCTGGAAAAAGATCCCAAAATTGTAACAGAAGATCTCTATTCCAGCAGAGCCAACTTGTTAGATAACTTTTCCATTTACCTTATATTATTCGTATGATTTTGTGACATAGGCAGAATGTCAAATGTTAGATAATTCTGGACTCTGGAGCCAGTGGTTCTCAGTCTCGGTATCTTATTCAACATGTGGATGTATCCTAAACCAATGTAAGAAAATGAGGTAGATGAATGCTACCAGTGAAGCCAATAGTGAAGATTTTTTTAGCACTTACGTACCAGGTTCTTTGTGTGAGATAACTCTTTTTATCCTCA